TACATATAAAATGCTTAGATTCAAGTAAGTGCACACTAATTGTAAACTGATGCTACTGTCATCCTCATTATTCCCTGAAGACTAGAGTCCATAATGAAACCCTGGCTTCCATCCTCAGCACAATGATAGACTTTCTTTATCCTATGATATATAGAAAACAGTTTCAGAATTGCTACATTCTTGTTACTACTAAATCTATTCAAGAGAGTTCAGTATTTATTTTCCCAATGTCAATACTAAATGCTCAGAGAAACAGTAAAAATTAGTGTAACAAAATCTTTCTTCAGTGAGTAGATACAATTTGAATCGACAGCATTAACTCAAATAGAAACTGGATTATATTGTTGTTGTTAAGTTGGTTCTGACTCATAGGGATCCTGTATAGGGCTCCCAAAGAGCCACTTGTGGGTTTGAACCACAGACCTATGGTTAGCAGTCTAGTGCTTATCCTACAGCACCACATTAGGACACCATCTGGTTATATTTATTGTTGTTGTTAAGTGCCATCAAGTCAATTCCTATTCATAGTGATCCTGTATAGGGTTTCTGAGGAGTGACTGGTGGGTTTGAACCACTGACCTTGTGGTTAGTAGTCCAGTACTGATCCTACAGCACTGCACTAGATAGGTCATTTTAATCTTGACTTCTCAGGAGATAGCATCAAAGCACAGTACATTTTCAAAGTCAGTTGGCTATAGAAACAGCGTTACCATTGGCATGCCTTACATTCTAAAATACAACCTCTACTCAGACTCTGCTGTTTCTGCTTCACTAACCTGACTGCACATGTTGTTGTTAGGTACCATCCAGTTGATTCCAACTCATAGCTACCTTATGCACAAGAGAACGAAGCATTGTCCTCACAATCATTGTTAAACTTGAGACTACTGCTGCTGCCACTGTGCCAACCCATCTAATTTCACTGACTCTTCACTTTACCTAGCATGATGTCCTTCTCCAGGGACTTGTCCCTCCTGATAATATATACAAAGTATGAGAGACGAAATCTTGCCATCCTGGCTTCTAAGGAGCATCCTGGCTGTACTTCTTCCAACACAGATTTGTTTGTTCTTCTGGCAGTCTATGGTACTTTTAATATTCTTGTCTGACATCATAACTCAAATGTATCAATTCTTCTACAGTCTTCCCTATTCACTGCCCAACTTTTACATGCATGTGAAACTATTGAAAATACCATGGTTTATGTCTGGTGCACTTTAGTCCTCAAACTGACATCTTTGCTCTTGAAGAAACACTTTAAAGAGGTCTTGGGCAGCAGATTAGACTAATGCAATACGTCATTTGATTTCTTCATGGCTGCTTTCATGAGTGTTGATGGTGGAGCCAAGCAAAGTCAAGTCTTTGAAAATTTCAATCTTTGCTCCATTTATCATGTTACTTATTGCTTCAGTGGTGAGGATTTTTTTTTCTTTACACTGTGGTACAACCAATATTGAAGGCTGCACATAGTTTCCCAAAAGAACCCAATGCCTAGGATTTTGTTCTCCGATAAACTGCTTATTAAGCTATTGTTTGACTTGAAGGTGATTTTAAGGAACCAGTTCAAGGTCCATAAGACACCTAAGGACAAATGGTTTGGGTGAATCATCCCAATTCCATGAACCCAGAAATCTAGATTCCAGAAGAATTAAAATGTCCTTGTCCAAGTTGCTCCACACACAAACACTCCATCAGGACTACAGACTATTTGTAGCTTTTAATTTGCAGAGGAAAAAGAAAAAGCCATGTTCATTATCAGCGGACCTATCTGTATGGGGACCATGAGTAAAAGGACCACGTAGCACTAGGCTTACCTGAAGTAACAACAATCTATACTGAGCTGTCACCAGATGGGACATTTCTGAGGAAATTGTTTAACTATTAGTACCAGTATCTAGCAAAAAGATAAGGATAGATTTGCCTGAGGAAAAAGTTACTGCCCAGTTCCTACCTCCAGAGAGTTCCTTGATCTGTCAATTCTGAGGCATTTTCCAATTATTTTCTAGCTGATGGTTTTGTCTTTCTAGGCTGATTCTCTTGTCCCTGCAATCTCTGCATTTTGGGAGTCTTTTACAATCCCTCTGGGAGTTTGGCCAAAGTAGGAATTATTACTTTAAGAAAGGAACTCAGAGCAGCTAATAGAGCAGTTTAAAAACATTTTTTTAAAAAAAAGTTTTTATTGTGAATTTAGTGATCGTTTACAGGGGAGAATTTCGGTTTTTATACTCATTGTGTCCTTGCAATGATTACAATCTCTTTTGTGCATTATCATTCAATAATAGTTGCTTCTATTCTCTCTGTGTTTTCTTTAGGAGGGGTGTACGTAAAAATACTCAGGGATATATAATAATTGAAACAACCAAAGAGCACATTCTGTAAGCCGGCCTCCAGGCCGCCAGCACACAACCTTTCTCTTTCCACTAGTCTAGATAGAGTCCACAGCGGCTCTCTCTCTCCATGTCCTCATCAATAGAGCAGTTTTAAATTTCTCCTTCTTTTTGTCTCCAGAGGCCTTGGCTGCTGGTGGGGGTGGCGGTCAGGGTGGGGTGACTGACAGAAAGCCCTATCCACGCCGGGTTGGAGAGCACCGAGTTTCTGCCCCTAAATCGACTCAGTCCCGCCTTTGCTGGGCTGACAAAGTGAAATGTGAAACGGCGCGCAGCCGCAGAACGGGCCCTTTGCAACTCTGGGCTCTGCGCCTGCGCAGCGCGGACCTCAGGCGCGCTGTTCAAATTTTCGCTGTAAGTTGATCTTGGGGTCTCGGGTTTCCCGCAGAGATCCCGATCTCCAAGTCTTTGGATCCAGCAGCGAGTCGACGTTTTAGTCCGGGATCGTCGCGAGCTTGGATTTGGTGTTGGGTGTCCTGAATTCGGAAGGCATTTCTTGGCTGGGGCGGAAGGGCAAGTGTTGACATTTCTGTGGCTTGGTTAAACACTTATGGATTGTTTCTTCAGGGGATCCCTTAAGACTTGTTCTCGGAGTTAATCGTAACAATTCTTACCCCTACCTTCATCTCTTGTTGTTGTTGTTAAGTGCTGTTGAATCGGTCTCGACTCATAGTGACCCTGTATAGGGTTTCTAAGGAGCGGCCGGTGGGTTTGAACCGCCGAACTTGAGGCTCAAACTTACCTTGCGGTCCAGCTCATTATCCTACAGCGCCACACTAGGACTCCTTCATCTCTCACCTGGCCCCAAACTTTAAAGCCTCAGTCTCCGCGGCATAGGCAAAATGCTTATCGAGACTTGTTTCTTGGAACTTTATGGTTTTGTTTTATTTTCCTTTGATTTGATTCTCCCCCCCCCCCCATAACCTATTTGTCTATGCAAACAGTGCATTTGTTCCCCTAAATCCGTAAGGAAATGACCCAGATTCACTTCCTATACTCTGGTTTGGGATCTATTCCATTGCCAACAGAAGGCATTAAGATAGATCAGTACTGTACTTTGGTTAGAAACTAAAATTTTGTAGAACTTGCTTTTAACTGTTTATACTTTCCTTTCAAGGAAATGAGATTTATTCGTTATTTATTATCTGGGGATTTTTAAAGTGAACTGAAATTTGTCTGGCTTTTTTTTTTTTTCTTTCTAAAAATGTGTTTACTTATTTTCTTAAACAGCTTAAAAAATGGCCTCCTCTGATCTGGAACAATTATGCACTTACATTAATGAAAAGATTGGCAATATTAAAAACACTCTGTCCATAAGAAATGGTGGTAAGTAAAAGATTCCATTGACTTTGTACGCACAAAATGCATTTTCATTGTTTTGCTTTGAATGATATCTTAATGTCTGGTTAAATGACTGTATCCTAGGAAGGTAATATTTTTAGTTTTGACTAACAATTTAAAAACATTTCAGCATCAATATTTTGAAGATTGCAAAGGGTACTAAAAATGCAATTATATTGAATTATCTGTGGAGTCCTCGTGAGGCACTGTAGGAGAAAGCAATTGGGCCGCAAGGCTGATGGTTCAAACTCACCAGCTGCTCCTTGGAAACTTGATACAGTGTCATTATGAGTTGGAACCGACTTAACAGCACATAGTAGCAATAATAACAAATGTCTTTATATAAAGCTATCTATTCTAAGAGTTCAAGTTTGTACTTGTATGTTACTGCTTCTCTATGTATTTTGCTTTTCATTTTACTTTTGTTTATGATAGGTCAAGAACCTGCCTTGAAGACTATATTAAATAAAATAGGGAATGAGATCATTGTAGTAAATGAACTTTTAAATAAATTGGAATTGGAAATTGAATACCATGAACAAACCAGCAATTCACTCAAGGTAATGCAGTGCTAATTAAGAAACAAAGCAAAATCACTAAATACAACTCCCTAATCACCTTTAAAAAAAGTTTATTTAAAAAAAAATACGTATTTACAAAGCTAAGACCATTATCAACTCTTTAAGATTTTTAAAATGAGTTGATAATGGTCTTAGCTTTGTAAATCAGTATTAATACTAGACAGAACCATTTGTGTTTTATTTTCTCAGTGTAATGGATTTCATTGTTCCATAGATATTTCTTTCTTCCTATAGATAGTAAAAGGAGCTCTGGTAGCGTAGTGGTTACGAATCGGGCTGCGAGCCACAAGGTCAGCAGTTCGAAACTACCAGCTGTTCCATGGGAGAAAGATGAGGCTTTCTGCTTCCATAAAGATTTACAGCCTCGGAAACCCTGTACAGGGTCGCTATGAGTCGGAACCGACTCCATGGCACACAACAACATAGATAGTAAAGGAATTGACCTTTACTCCAAAAGGGAATTTTCTAAATGCTTGGTAGGTTTAAAGTAAACAAATAATATGTTGGTCTGAGAATATTACTTCCCTTAGCACTATTTGCCACCCTGAAAGTTTTTTACTTCTCAGGGCCTCAGAGTGCTCATCCGAAAAACAGCAGATTGTACAGGACTATTTATTTGTGTGCCAGCGTGTCACTTTTGAGTCAGCGACCCTGTTGAACAGAAAGCCTTATCTTTCTCCCATGGAGCAACTGGTGGATTTGAACTGCTGATCTTGTGGTTAGCATTCAATCTACTTCACCATCAGGGTTCCTGAGGCAATTTCTTAGGTCTTTTATATTAATACCTTTCCATAAATTTTAATACAAAGGCTTTTTAAGAAAAACTTGAACCTTATTCAAATATATTTATTTTATTCTAAATGCCTAACAAACCTTCTAATTGACTCAGCCTAATAAAAGTGTTGGTGTCTGCCTGCCGAGGGGAAAATACTCAATGTGAATCATAATTGCCTCCTGCTGTTTACAGAGTCATTGAAGGAGTTTAATGAGATTATGTGACAATAAATACAGCTCTTATAGTCCCTTTCAAGGAGCTCTGGTAGCGTAGTGGTTATGGGCTGCGAACCGCAAGGTCAGCAGTTCGAAACTACCAGCTCTTCCGCCGGAGAAAGATGAGGCTTTCTGTTCCCGTAAAGATTTACAGCCTGGGAAACCCTGTACAGGGTATCTATGAGTTGGAACCGACTCCATGGCACATAAACAACAACAACAACAATAGTCCCTTTCAGCCCTACAGTCCTGAAGATATGTAAACATTCTGCCATTACAGGTTCATGGACATTGCAGGTTCATTTCCAGACCGCCACAGTAAAGTGAATATCGCAGTAAAGCGAATCACAGGAATTTTTTTTGGTTTCCCACTGCAAGTAAAAGTTATATTTACTGTAGTCTAAAAACTGAGCAATAGCCTTATGAAGAAGTTTGAAATGCTGTAAGAGTTTCCCAAACTGTGACAGACATGAAGTAAGCACGCACTGTTGGCAAGATGGCGCCATTAGACTTGCTTGACACAAGGTGGTCACAAACCTTCTATTTGTTAAAAACGCACTATTTGCAGTACCATAGAACAAGGTGTGCCTGTGTAGGGATTCATGTGGTATGCCTTTCCTAATACTCGTCACCAGCACCTGTTTGTTACTACTTTGTCATATTATGGTGATTTGCATGTAGCTGTGGTGCTGGAAGCTATGCCATTGGTGTTTCAGATACCAGCATGGCCATCCAGGGTGAACAAGTTTTAGTGGAGCTTCTAGACTAAGACAGACTAGGAAGAAAGGCCTGCTAGTCTACTGAAAAGTAGCCAATGAAAACCGTAGGGGTCACAACAGAATATTTTGATATTGGAAGGTGAGCCCTCTAGATTGGAAGACATTCAAAATACACTGTGGCTACAGCAATGGGGAGTCCTGGCGTGGCACTGTGAGTTAATGCGCTGGACTGCAAAGTTGGCTTGAACCACAACGTTGGTGCTTCAAGCTCACCAGCTGCTCCTCAGAAACCCTATACAGGATCGCTATGGGTCAGAACTGACTCGATGGCACTTAACAGCAACATTAACCCAGCAATGGATTTGAGTATGCCAGTGATGGAGAAGAGGGTGCAAAGTCAGGCAGCATTTTATCCTGGTGTACATGGAGTACCGTCAGTTGGAGCTGACTAGACGCAACCTAACAGTTGTAGTCAGAATGAAACCAGTGTCTATAAAGTTCAACTGTTCCAAAAAAATAGATATAACGGAAATCCAAAATGGAAACCAATATTGGTATTTTTATTTATTTTTAACATGCCCCAATGTTCATGGCCCTAGAGAATTTAACTCTAACTGGAAGGCTGTTTGAAATTTCTCTTCACATTATTATGGGGAGTCTGCTGTCAGAAATCCAAGGTTCAGAAGAATTTCCTTATAAATTTATAACCTTAAATTCTTTAGAACTTAAAGACAAAAATGAAGAGTGAGAGAAGATGAAGATCAAGTAGAACTTTGATTAAGTTGGAATATGTGCACATCAGCAATGAAAATCAATCGTTCCAGCCAGTCATGTGCTCTCACTGTTGATATACAAATTACTGTGGGGGTGGGGACATTAGCAAAATTGGCAAAAACAGTTTCCCAGAAGGAAAAACCTAAGTCATTCATGCACTTTTCAGTTGTCTCCCAGGTTAATTTACTTTGGAGAGACCTCAATTCCAACCCTTCCTAGTGTATAATTAATAGTAATTATTCTATGAGAAAAATTTAGCAGCAAAAAACGTATCACCAACCATAAATGCTCTAGAAACCAAATGAGTCTTTTTCTTTTTGTTAATGTTGCTACATTAAGTTGTTTTTCTCCCCATTCTGCACTCGGAACATTTGCAGTCACCGTGATAAAAGTTCATACTCTTTCATGTTCTTAGTTGTTGTTAGGTGCCGTCGAGTTGATTTCTGACTCAGCAATCCTATATAGCGTTTCTGAGGAGTGGCCTGGTGAGCTTGAACTGCTGACCTTGAGGTTCTAACTAACTCTTGAGGTTCAAACCGACTCTGTAGTCCAGCACATTAACTCACAGCGCCACACCAGGAGTCCTCATGTTCTTTTGTTGTTGTTGTTGTCAGGTGCCATCGAGTCGGAACCGACTCACAGTGACCCCATGCACAGCAGAACGAAACAATGTCCGATCCTGGGCCAACCTCACTACCGCTGCCACACTTGAGTCCATCAATGATGCCACCTGGCTGATCCATCTCGTTGGGGGTCTTCCTCTTTTTCTCTGACCCTCCACCCTACCCAACATGACATCCTTCTCCAACGATTGTTTCCTCCGGACAATATGTCCAAAGTAGGAGAGACGAAGCTTAGCCATCCTGGCCTCCAAGGAGCACTCTGGTTGCACTTCTTCCAAAACAGATCTATTGGTTCTTTTGGCAGTCCATGGCACTTTTAGTATTCTCCTCCAACACCACAACTCAAAGGCATCAATTCTTCTACGATCCTCCTTATTCACTGTCCAGCTTTCGCATCCATATGAGGCTATTGAAAACACAATGGCCTGGGTCAGGCGCACCCTAGTCCTCAAGCTGACATCTCTGTTCTTCAACACTTTAAAAAGTTCCTGTGCAGCAGATTTGCCCAGTGCAATACATGTTCTTTAGAATGTCATAAAACACACACATGGTGCACATATTTTTATATGGGCTTTTTTTTTTTTTTTTAAAGGAACTCTGTGAATCTCTTGAGGAAGATTACAAAGATGTACAACATCTCAAGGAAAACATCCCTCCCCATTTGCCTCAAATAGCGGTAACCAAGAGCTTGTAAGTATATTTAATGACTCTTGCAACCTGACAGGAACCCTGGTGTTGTGTTGCTGGAGGATAAGCACCAGACCGAAAGGTCGGTTTGAACAGCAAGGTTGGAGGTTCGAACTCACTACCTGCTTAGGTTTCTTCAGAAACCCTATACAGGGTCACTATGAGTTGGAACGGACTCGACAGCACTTAACAACAGCAATAAAGCTGCCTGATGTATAAGCCCATTCAAACAAAAAAGCAGGCACTTTGGAACTTTGTGCTTTTTCATGTCTTTACAGTTTTATCAGTGATGATTCAGTGTTTTGTCATTTGTACTGGAAATAAGATTTCCTCTTCTATTTGCCAGTTCGCTCATCCTCCTGTCTCCAAGGAAAATGTCAACCCTCATTCTCACGGCTGAATCTCCTCTAAACTCTTCCCACTCACTTCTCTTCCTTAGAGCAGAGTTTACCAGCCCTGGCACTATTGACATTTTGGGCTGAATAGTTCTTTGTGGGGGTTGTCCTGTGCATTATAGATCTGGTGGTTACGAATTGGGCTGTGAAACTCAAGGTCAGCAGTTCGAAAGTACCAGCTGTTCCGCAGGAGAAAGATGAGGCTCTCTGCTCCTGTAAAGATTTACAGCCTTGGAAACCCTGTACAGGGTCACTATGAGTCGGAACCGACTCCACGGCACATAACAACAACAACAAACCCAGTAGATACCAGTAGCATCCCGCTCCAGTTGTGACAATGAAAAATGTCTCCTGATACTGTAAAATGTCCTCTGGGGGACAGACTCTCTCTGCTTCTTTGAGAGCTATTGCCCACTGTCTGAGGGTAAAAGTAAGCTTTCCCACCTTAAACCATCTAAAGGAACAGAAAACTTAGCTGTTTTCCCTTTCAAATGACCGTGTGTCTGTTCACTGACAATATATGTTTGCTGCTTCTCCTTTTTTCCCTGCACAGAACCCCAAACCCACTGTCATGAAGTCTATTCTGATTCATACGACCCTTTAGAAACCCAGCAGGCTTACAAGGCTATAGCAGACCACCACATCTTTCTCCCACTGAGTGGCTGGTGGATTCCAACCACTGACCTGTTGTTGGTTAGCAATGCTTTAGCCACTGCACCACCAGGGCTATCACACAGCCCCTAAAACTTGGCTTCCGACTCTCACTACCATCACTCTTGTGAAACTTGATTTCTTGAAGGTCACAAAGAGGTCAAAAGACCCTTCTTCAGCACTAGTCCTACTCTTCCCATTTTCTTTTACTGACGATCTCGTTGGAAATTCTGGTTTCTGCACTGTTGATGTGAAGTGTCTTCAAGTCGGTTCTGACTCACAGCGACCCCTATATACAACACTCCTCAAATATATCTAACAGAGTGCAATGATAGTTTTGTGCAAACAGTTAAGTACTTGTAAAAGGGTGGGCGTAGTAATAATATCAGAATCTGTTTCACTTCAGAAGGGGTAATAGCTGGGACCAGCTCAAAGCTGATGCCCATGAGGTAGACATCAGACACACCTCCATCCTCCAACCTTTTTACCAACTCTAACACCGGCCATTCCTCCCATGGCAATTTCTCTTTCAATTCTGCGCTTGATCAGTCATTGCAATGGCCACACAGAACTCACAGGCCCCTATATAGTTAAGTAGTTTATTAAGGAACCGGGTACAACTCAAAAGTCAGTATCAGGAAGCATGTAGGTGAAGTCTCCTTCCGGTGCAGGACGAAACTCTCAGTTCCTCTTCACCATGGAGACCTCTTTCCACTCGGCTTCCCGAGGACAGTGTCCTCTTGCCTTGCTGCCTCCACTGCTCTGCTGCTGGACCCCTTGCAGACCTCCTGACTGGCTGTTTCCAGTGTTGCAGCCCTTGACCACCATCATAACCCTTCGGAGATTCACTGTCAACTCTGCTAAACTCCTTCTACTGCTTCTCTTTTTTATTTAAAACTTATTATTGTGAATTGACAAGATCATTACAGTCAATAAATCATACACTATTTCATCCCAATGATTACAATCCCCTCCATTGCTTCTCTTCTTGCTTCTTTCTGTCAGTGGGCTGGCTGTTTAAATATGCAAATTCCTTGTCAATCTCAAGCCCTGACACTTCCATTAGTACCGTGAACGGATCAGTACCCTCTGGGTGATAATGTTGTTAAGTGCTGTGGACTTGGTTCTGACTTGTAGTGACCTTATGCACAACAGAATGAAATTCAGCCCCGTCCTGCACCATTATCACAATTGTTATGTTTGAACCCATTTTTGCTGCCACGATCTCAGTCCAGTTTGTTGAGGCCTTCCTCTTTTTTACTGACCCTCTACTTGATGACCTCCTCCAAGGACTGGGCCCTTCTGATAACAAGTCTGAAGTATGAGAGAAGTTTCACCATCCTTGCTCCTGAGGAGTATTCTGGTAGTATTTCTTCCAAGATAGATTTGTTTGTTCTTCTAACAGTCCATAGTACTTTTAATATTCTTCTCCAATGCCATAATTCAAATGCATCAGTTTTTCTACAGTTTTCCTTATTCGTTGTCCAGTGTTCACATACCTATGAGGCAATTGAAAATACCATGGCTGTATCAGGCTCTTTATCACTTTGTAGGGCTTTTGTAGCAGATTAGTTCAATGCAGTACATTATTTGATTACTTGACTGCTTCTTCCCGGAGTATTGATTGTGGATCGAAGCAAAATGAAATCGTTGACAGTTTTAATCTTTTCTCCATCTATCATGATGTTATTTATTAATCCAGTTGTGAGGACTTTTGTTTTCTCTACATTGTGAGATGCAATCCATATTGAAGGTAGGCCACAGGTACTTCATTTGCATAGTAGGAACTGATGGGCTACACCTCACCTGATTTGCATAGTCTATTGACCATTCTCTGCAAGTTGCATACCAATCACAAGGCAGGCTGTAGCTCAGAACTAGACAAAAATCTTCTAAACCAAATTGTTTACAGTTTACCCAGGATACATCAGTCAATCTGGACAAAAGTAACAAACCCTTTAAAGGGATACAAGGGGTAGAAAACTCACTGTCATAAACTCCTTAAGACTTAGGAGAAAAAAAGTCTTCTGAGCTGTTTTTCCAAAGAATCAAGGTTAAAGACCACAGAAAGGACCTAATTCCCCCACAGCACTTGACTGGTGTGATCTGCTTTCAAAGGGTAACTGAAAACCCTATGGAACAGTTTTAGTCTGCGCACATGTGGCCGCTATGAGTTGGAATTAACCTGACAGTAATGACCAACAGCAGCAGCATTGCTTTATGGTTTTGTCATCTATGTTAAAACACTTGGGGTCACCATGAGTTATACTTGATTGATGGCCACCGATTTGGTGTTTCCATAAACTATATACTGTTTCAGTTTGAAAAAATGAAAGGCAAGCTCAAACCTTTCTGTGTAGGAAAGGAGTCATATTGATGATGGGTGAAGGCCTCCAGGAAAAGATAGCTCAACAGAGTTCCTGGGCCTGGTCTGCTTTCTACCTAGCTTGGAATTTCTCTGCAAGAATAGAAATTATTCCATGAATGAATATTAGGAAACAGATCATCATAGGACATCTTCAAGGTCTATAGTTTGGGCCAGGCATTGGTCATCCAGCAGGAATGTGGCTAGGGGAATAGGAGGAATTTTCCTCCAACTTCACCATGGCCCAACTTTCGCATTGGAATAATTGTTTTCAGCTGATGCATGAAGCAGGGCCTGAAGGGGAAATCAAGAGCTTTCTTAGCACATGGTCAAGACAAGTAAAGGTAGGAGTCAGCCAGACTCATCATGGAGACTGTCCCCCTGGTAGGATTCTTATTAGGATGGTGGCACTACAGCATTGGGCATCTTGTGAGTCACGCTGCCCCCAGTTAGGCCTGCTTACCCTCTGTGTCTGGTGCTTAGATCTCCGCCTTCCCGGGAATTCCCTCCACTTGCTCCTGTATTGGAGCTGCTCTTTCCTGCATCCCATGTTTTCTTTCTTGGAACCACATACCAGCATGGCTTGGCTTGTTGCTGACAACAGACTCTGTTTCTCCCTGGAAGTTAAACAGCCTGGAAGCTACATTATGTCTAGACTCCAGCTGCTAGTGGGGCAGGTACTAAGAGTAAAGTTCTCACTGGCTCCAAAAGTTTTGCAGAACTGAATCCAAGGGTGACCCATGCTCATTGCTGGCAACTACAATGAGTTTGTAGCAGGAAGGGACTGGCACTGCCAACCAACAGGATGAATAGGAAGAAACAGAAGCTCAAGATGATTGATGTTCCCATGTCCCAGGTCATGGAAGTCAGGAAGAGAAGCTGTTAGGCAGCTGCATAAGTCAATTCTACACGAACTGACCTTATGGAACTGGTGGAACAACTGATGAGGATGGCTAACATATGGACCACAGACAGCAGTGTTGGGCCAAGCCAATAAGCATAGCTAGGTGTATGGGGTTACTATGAGTTGGAACCGACTCGATGGCACACAACAGCAACAACCATGTGTTACTAAAGATTTGGGGACTTAATTTTTCAATATTCTCTTCACTATTTAGATCTTCATGAACAATACTATTGTGTACCATCGAGTTGGTTCCCATACATAGTGACCCTATATAGGGTTTCCAAGGAGTGACTGATGAGTTTGAACCACTGACCTTACGGTTAGCACTCCAGTTCTTAGCCACACCAAGACGCCTCATGAGCATCTGTTGTTTAGTGCTGTTAGATGGTTTTGACTCATAGCAATCCTGTATTATAGGGTTTCCAAAGAGCGGCTGGTGGGTTTGAATAGCCGATCTTAGGATTCAAACCAACCTTGCAGTCCAGTGCTTATCCTACAGTGCCACACTAGGACTCCCTTATGAACAATGGTGGTGGTGATGGTTATATGCCGTGGAGCTGGTTTTGACTCATAGTGACCCTGCATAGGAATTCCAAGCCTGTCAATCTTTACAGGAGCAGAAAGTCTCATTTGTCTCCTGTGGAACCGGTGCTAGTTTCAAACTGCTGCCCTTGAGGTTAGCAGCCCAACTTGTAACCACTTTGCTACCAGAGCTCCTTCATGAACAATGTTGTTAAGTGTCATCAAGTCGGTTCTGACCCATAGCGATGCTGTACAAGGTTTCCGAGGAGCAGCAGGTGAGCTTGAACTTCCGACTTTGCAGTTCAAGCCGACTTTGCAGTCCAGTGCATGGTCCAACGCCACACCAACACTCCTCATGAATAAATAAAATCTTGGCAAGTTCGTAAGTTTTTAAGTATTCATCAAAAATATTAACATCCTTAAAGTCAACATACTAAGTTTTTAAGTGGCTTCAGCATTC